AAACTATGAATGCTAGTGAATTATGTAAGGAATTGGAGAGCTTGGGGCCTTCATGTCGAATTGTCTTATGAAATGCCGTAGTTCGTGCGAAGGAACCAGGAAATTCTTAACATTGCAGGGTAAAATAATGGTGAATGTCTTTATTTCGACAAAACATCTGTTTAATAGAAGTTAGATGCGTGTTATTATTAAACGAGGCATAAAGGCTCCAAGCTGAAGAGAGTAGATATCGTTGATCTTTAGAGTCTTATGTTTACAGAAAAGCGGATTTGAACGTTGGAACTTGCTTACAGAATTAATTACCCTCAATGCTCATTTTTGTAAATTAAGTATTCTGTGAAATTCCTAATGCCAAGACCCCATAGTTCAAATACGGTAATATCAGAGTATTATAAAGCATAAACAGGACTTCTTGGGGGAAACAGCTTTAAGTTTATAGATAACGCCAACGTTTTGAGAAAAAGTAGTACAAGTGTGATTAATGTGATGTTCATAGGACAGTTTAAGATAGAAACCCAAGACTTTTACACAATCAGAATAAAGTATTTTTTATGTTATCAATACAGGCGTTGGGTGGAGGAAACCCCGTTTTGTTACTAAACAACATACATGTATTTTTCTCAATATTGAGGGATAACTCATTCGCTTTAAGCCATTCAGAGATTAATTCTTGATTTACCAGATCGGCGAGCTTGTATATACCATTATGACTAATAAAAAGGTTACCATCATTAGCAAACATACTAAATAAGAACAAATCTGAAGAATTACTGAAATCATTTATGTAGATAGAAAACAGGAGAGGACCGATTATTGGTCCTTGAGGAACACCATAAGATATTTTGTTATGAGAGAACTGATATGCACCAAGAAATACAAATTAAATTGTTTGCGACTGGAAAGGGACTTTTAAACCACTCCAGAGGATTACACCTGATTCCATTATAAGCAAGTTTAGATAAGAGATTAGCGTGGTCGATTGTGTCGACAGCCTTATTAGAAAGGGCTAAAAATTCCAAGTGTACTTGGTACTTATCTTTAACTAGGCCTAAGGAACTGGTGATCAAATCGTGACCAAAACTTTTCTTCTTCGGTAACATGTGAACAATGTCTATGACTTCTTGAGTGTGTGGGCTGAGTGAGAGCGTATTGTTGACGGGTACCAACTAACCATCTTGAGACCCCCGACGCAGCAGGTGGAGATTGGCTAGTAAATATCAGTTCCAGTGTGGTCGGGTTGAAATTGGCAAAATAAGAGCCAGTTGATCCTAACTACTTGTTCCTATTTTCTTGCAACACTCAGCCTGGAAACCTTCCTAAGGTTGATCTCAGTGGGATAAACATGGCCGTACCATAGGTTTGAGGTTTCCCTCTTGCTCTAATAGCCAGGGGCCTTGTGCGTCCGTTCACTGGGGAGCAACTTTTCGTCCGTGCAAGGCTACCAAGGACCTATTTGTCGAGACGTTGTCCACTGAAGGCCAACCTTGATGCAGGACTTCTGCATCTGCATCGGAGTAACCTGCGCCTATTCATTATAATCATTAATCCTTTTCGAATAGAACAAGCCTGTGTTTTTAGTAATTTTCTTTTTATGCCGTTTTAAATTAGCGGGGAACATACAGGCCTAGTTTGATTTGAGGGGAGATCTAACTCCAAACATATGAGATTGTTAACTCTGATTCGAGATTTCTGGTATTTGATTTTCTCTTGTAAATTGTATAAATACTATTAGCGTAAGTACAAGAGTTTCAATATACTTGATGTTTCCTTATCCTTAATTTAGTTGCTCCTCATTTTAAAATAGTTTGCGAACGTTGGGTCATCACTGAAAAAGATAGTTTGGAAATAAAATATTGCGTATAGTGGTGACAGGGTCCTGTGGTAGAGCTTATTTTTATGGTTTAATGGTTTGCATAGGCTGATAGTGTTCCACAGAGATTTGGGGGTTGTTTTACGTGAAACTAGTTTTTTTCCTGTGACAGGAACGTGCTTGTCAATAGATGAATTTAACACATCCATGAAATTATTGATGATGATGAGTCATCTGATGATGAGTCAATCAGACACGTCATATTCCGTATCCACAAACTGTGCGGCGGTAATCAGACTATGCGCTGGGCGCACAAAAATGTGTTACTTTACGCGCGAGTACGGACGTACATATTCAGCCTAACAGTCTCCAGAACCAGTCGCAAATGTAAACCCTTTTAGTAAAATGGCCAGGCTCGCGTGTAAATAAAAAATGCGTTGCCGACCTGCGCTGGGCGTGGTTTCGAAACGACTGGATTCGACTTAGACTGTGGTCTCGCTGCTTCCATCCGTTTTGAAGCTGCGTTCGAAACCGCATGTTGAAACTTTGAAAGGAACCTGCGAAACTGAAATCTGAGGGGAATTGGCTGAACAACTTGATTCATGACTTGTGACTCGGACTCGGCCTCGGCGTTTGTGACTCGAGACTTGGACTCAGACTCAAAGCTTGAGACTAAGGACTCGGACTCGACATTGGTGACTCGAATACAACACTGCATTGAGGACAATACCACACGTCATCTTTGTTACATAATTCAAGGTAATCGGTAAAGGTAAGCCCCGCACAATTGAGATGAATCCAGAATTTACAAGAATCATAAGAGATGGAGTTTTGATTGTTTCTTACTGGGTTACTTGGGAATCTAATTGGCATTAAACAATAAACATAAAATACTGGTGAACAAAATCAACAATATCAAGGAAATTGAACCATCAACAGACAAGAGTCATTAACAGACAGACAAGATTTAACAGTTCCGGACAGTAACCAGAATGACACTAACAAATAAAGGATCAATTACAATGAAATAAGTACACCAATCACGCTCCGTGTACAATAATAGAGAAAAGGATATACATGTAGAATACACCAAGTAATTTCTATGGCGGGCTGTTACTCAGAGTAAGGGGGCTGGGAAGTATACCTTCGCCCGTTGACATGTAGTTGCCCGTTTCGGAATGAGGGTTTCTTTCCTTAAACATATGCCTGTTCACAAGGCTTCTCGTTTTGGAGCGGTCTGCTACAGGAAGATCTTCAGTCATGTAGATGCCAATGCTGGCTAGTGCTGCTCTGCCACGAAGTAGGCCTACTGCTTGACGCCCTGGGCAATATATGACTTGGCTAAGATGTGGCGGGTTTCGCCTTCGACCGGGGAACCAGAGTGGGCATTTTCAATTTTAGGCTCCAGATGACTGCACTTTTCCTTTAATATTTCCTTGATTTTCTCATATTCTCGAGGCTCATTGGGGATTTGGGCAATCCCACCAAATCGGAGGTTGTAACTCCTGGAGTAGTGTTTCAATCCGATGGCCGAGTCCTCCACCCGATTGATTTTTCTTTGGGCAACTTCGAGATTGGATAGTAGTTTGGCCAGCTGAGATTGTTGGTTTCTGTATTCCACCCTGACTTTTTTTGATGACGTCTGATGTGTATGTTACGGATGTCTCGATTTCAGCATACCAGGATTTCTATCACGTCCATCAATGGAGTAGGGATTGCTGGTTGGAGATTACTGTGTCAAGTTTCCCCTAGATTCTGCTCTTCATTTTGTGAATTTCACAGCGAAGCTGCAAAGGGAGCTTTCCAGGGTCTTGGTAACTTGTGTACATGTATCCACATCAGGCATTTGAATACATGATGCTGAGACTGATTGCTTTTTGTCTCTTTTTGGAGGCATCTTTGCAGCTGTTGGTTGTCCAGGCCTAGAACGAGCAGCACTTCACTTCAGGTTTTGGTCGATGGATTGAAATTATCTGGATTACAGGCGATTTAACTTGGTGATTATCGTAATTATTAACGGAGCGGGTTGATGACTGTTACTCCATGAAGAACGCCCTCTTTCATGACATGTCCCTCCTGTTTGCCAACATGTTACAAAGACCGTATCAACTGGTGTTCGTAAACTTCAGACCTATTAAACGTTATCGATGAGATGCCTCGCTGCAAAATATCAGCTCATTCAACGGACAACGAATTAATTATCACAAAAGCCAACAAACCAGAGGCATCTTTAAATACCTGAGACCTGACGCTGAACCAAAATAGATACTTTGTGATACTCAAGAGAGATGTTGTGTCCATTGAAGCTGTCAATCGCTCTCCGTAAAGGCTTTTCATACTGAGCGTTCGGATATTTTTTAACAGCTATTTGATGTTAACGGGGAATTTACATAATTTAAAATTTATATTAAAGCAAAATAAAACAGATTCCGTTTAAACGTTTGGGCAACACTTATAAACGGATTTTTAACCTTTCCCGTTTTAACGAATAAACGCCACACCCTTACTAATAGCCTTATGCCTATAACCAAAACTAAAGTCTGGTCTCTAGTCGAGAAGTAACAAATGAATGTAACAGACTACAAGTCTCTTAGCCAATCCACTATAATTAGTGGAACGCACCTTTCAGTACACTAGAAATGTATTTGTGAGCATGCATGGTTCCGTCTGGATCCAGTATCACACCGGGGATCTTGAACTTTGTCAGAAAGCACAAGACGTGCCCTAAGATGTACATCACGAAACCAAAGAATGGCAAAGGCTTGATGTTTTAACTTTATCTAAGTAAGCGCAGTTGCAATGAGATCAGCCGTTTCAGTGTACCCACAATATCCTCAGCGGCTGTTACCACTTATCAGTCATTTAAGCGATTTGGTCCAGAAGGAACAGCATCGCATTAGTCGATGGGTTTTTGAATGGCACTAGCGTTTCGCAGTCTCTTGCAAGGAACTCCAGACTGCAAATGCAGCAAGGTATGAGACGGAGAGAACCCCCCCCTGCTTTGTGTTGGTCATTGTCTCGCAGGAATCTGAGGAATTCCTTTCAGACATGTTGGGGGATGTGTTAAGTAACAATAGTCTGGAATGTGTATAGGGATTGGACGTGTTGGGGGGGGGTACCCCACGTTCTCATTTCTTGCTGGATATACCAGACTGGTCTTTAGCGCTGGTCCTGGAGAAAGTTTGAAAAAAAGAGCTTTGAGCAAACTTCCCGGAATATCGCCACAAAGAGTGGAGATCAGCAGGATTATCCATAAATCGAACCAAAGCAGGTGGAATCGACCGCCAGACGGTTTTCTGTCCTCGCTCTGTCACAGGCTGTCTTATCACCCGGTCAGCAACTGCTGCAATGGGCAAGGCACTGCCTGGTGTCGCTTATCCGCTTATGTGTGACCAAAACTGTTTTTGGTCCCGTCACCATCAGGCTCTAGCAGCACAAGTATAGCAAGAGGAACTCTTTTATCCAGGGAGAGCGGTCATAATCACTCGACACTGAGCAGATGGCGAACCCCCAACTTTGGTAACTATCCCAAGTCATATTCCCCTCACGACCAACGTAAATTGAGCAAAACGTTGCTTCGCCTCAGTTTCACCACAACTGACTTGTGGCACTCCCATCCAAAGCTCTAAACGAAGTCATCCAACGAGCTAAAGGTCTTTCCTATCGGATAAAATTCATTCTCACGAGGAGATATACGACCTGGCTTACAAGGCAGCTGTCCTTGCCAGCGATTCGCTGGATAGGTGAACAGAATTTGTCCCAAGAAGTTGCGTTCATCAGGTTTGGTTGTATAGTATTGGAATCGGGGACGTGCTGCCCCCAACAAATTCAACCGGCCCACAATGATTAATACAATTTTGTTTCAAGTTTGAATTTTCCCCATTGTGAAATTTTCTGGAGTTGTATAACAATTTTGAATATTGGGCTTTGCCTTTCAAACATCAACTGTTCCCAGTTTTTATTTTTCGCCAGAATTTAATAATCGTTTTCGCAAAAAGGCCGAATAATGTTGAACTTATTCAAACTTCTTAGAACGCATTTTTTTCCGGATTGTATTGCTTCCTTATTAGTAATGCTTCTCACATGATAACTTTGTTCCTTTTCCCCAGAAATTGCCTGTGTACAAGCAGATTCTAGAAGAGGATTAAAACATCCCACTCGTGCGTGTTCATTTTAAGACAACAGCATCTGTTCAAAAGGCTGAACTTTCACCCGTAATACAAAATGCACGTCACCAACGCTATTTTAATTAGGGCCTTCTTGTTTGCAACCGTTCATAAAATCTTAACTGATTTAATTAAAAGAGATAAATGTTGCTTGAACCTGATATTTTGGGGACTATTTCCTCAAATTTCCTCCATTTTGACCAGTTTTATGATTCTGATACCTCTATTTTTTACTGCTCCGTCATATAGAATCATATCAATTATATGATAATCGAACGCAAAGAAACAGAAAACTCATTTGCTCGTTCGATAATTGTACCTCGTCAGTCATTTATTATAGATACTAAATATATACAGTCATTAAAACCTGGTCGTAATGTTTTTTATATTTTTGAATGATCTTTATCGATTTCAACATGCAGGCCTACAAAAATTGTGCCATTTTTACGAAAATACCTGAATTTAATAAGCTGGTAAGATTGGGGAAAACTGATCGATATCTTGTCAAAAAAAGCAATTGCACTTATGTTCCTTGTGTATACTATTTGCTCATGCAGCAGCAAAAGGTCTGTGCTATTGGCAAAGTTCTGATGATAGTTCTGTGGAGTAAATTTGACAGTGTGCGTTACATCGCTATTGTCTGTCTGTCACATGAGACATTTTTCAGGTACGGGGAAATGTCTTAGTGAAAGCCATTTTGCGAATTATAGTTTTCGGCGCCTCAGTGGTACTAGCAATTGTTGGGAACCATTGGCAAAAGAACAGAATCAAGATATCTTGAATGTTGTGGTCATTAATTGTCTTGTTTTCTCACGACATTCTTCATTCTTCTTTCTTTAGTTTGTTATTTCTGTACAGTTTTTGGAATCCTCACCTATGCAATACAAGTAAAATCACGCACGTGCTGATCCTGAAAAGTAAAGTGCGTCAAGAAAAGGTCACGATTGAGACAAGACATGGCAGCCGGATGTTGAAGGACAGGGTTTCAAGAATACGAAACGATAAATGCCACTGAAGTCCAAAGAACGAGAAGAAAATAAATGGGATGTGCGTGTTGTTCAGCAGAAGACTTTAACGTGCACGGAATTATCGCTGCGGACCCGTGGTGTTCGTGGATAGCGTTCAGTATTAAATTAGGCCTGCTCGGATACAAGCAGTGTTTACAAGCCGAGCTTCTTGGAATTGTTTGTAAGAGCAAGAGACAGACGGGGACCTGAGTTTGCGTAGGGAATAACAATAAACAGGCTGACATTTTCACTGACAGGACACAGTAATTAAAAACCACCTGTACGGTTTTTAATTTAGAATCAGATTTTTAAAGAAACTGTGGCCTATTCATTTTTTTTCTTTCAAAATGTTCTTAATATACTGCGAGAGATATTCCTGGGGAAATAGCGAAGCTGCTAGATTATTGAATCACCTTGTTGCAGTCCACTGGTCGAAATGTCACGCAACATTTGTTAATTTCCCCTTTCCATTTTCCTGTAAATTCATACTTCTGAAATTAATATCATCAAGCCACAATAATTTTCTTTGACCCCGTGCGCTCAGGATGCATAAGCAGTTTTTAAACGTCTGTATTTTTCCGCCAAATACCTACTTTCTGACCATAAAACACCTGCTAAAAATCCCAGATAATCTGAGAGAAAATGACACTGAATTTTTTTGCCCACATGTATACGTTCAGATTGGACGCTCACTTTTTTTTCCCCGTCATGCCTGTTTTGGCTATGCAATTATTTTATAGTGAAAAGGTAAAGGTGACTTGGCTGAGCTAGTCTTAGTTTCATCCGTTTATATGTTCATACACGGGACTGTTGGGACAGTGTTCTCGTCAAGTCACAAGAGTGGAGTCCGAGCCCCGAATCACTTGCCCCTAGTCCAAGTCTGGAGTCACTTCCTCAAGTTTGAGTCTCGAGCCAATTAAGAGCCCATATATTGCCATAGAATCTGCATAAGCGTACATGCGTGTGCAAGTGCACAGTACTCCAATAAATTTTGTGAACAGCTCATTCGAAATTCCTAGATTACGGTGCGGGCAGCTTTTCTGTATGTACATGTGCAACTATGGACAACGTTTCGTCAATGCAATAGATTCATCACTGCCGTCTAGTAACAGCATCCAAACATGTTCTGTGCTCATACCACAGAGGAAGGAACAGAAAGCATCCCTCCATGGGCATACAAAGTGTGTTTCAGTGTAATCTTTTAGCTGAGTTTACAGTACGGTGTAGATTGAAGCGCATGTATCAGTGCAGTTGGGCAATATCTTCAGTTTGATCTGTTAGCCGTCAAGCTGACGAAATTATTCATTTGCATGGGCTACAGTACACTACAACTTACAAGGATGAGGGTTCTTTTGTTTTTGCAGTTCGTGTAGTTGATTTTAAACATTTTGTTCTTTATCCTAGGAGATTTGGAGGTTTTCATTTTTAAAAGAAAAACAAATCACGATAACTACATGTAATAATGGTGATGACACATTACACCTGAGTGAAAACATCGTCGGGCGCCGTCATTAACGAGCAGTAGCCCATAGGTCTTATTACATGTATTACACTGATACCTAAAGTGGGCTTATTGGGTAATTACAGGGTCCTCTGAAGGGGCCGCGCATTGTAATAATTTTAACGAGCTTACAAAGCGAGTGGAGAGGTTGATTGCTATGTAGGCCTAATCTTTTCAAAAGCATTCCAAAATGATGGTGACTTTTTTCCTTCCAGCGAGTGCACTTCAAAGGGAGAAAAGGGACTAAGAAAAGGAATCATGCTAAGACACCTACAAAAAGGAACAATAAGAACGGGATGTTCCCTAGTGTCTTGGCCAAGACTCCGGTATGGAGAAAATTTAGTTAGAGAAATTCTCTGAAAGGAACGTTGGGGCCTTGAACCCAACGTGACTTTTTTCCTGTGGGGGTAGGGGAATGTGAAATTGCCTATATCCGTACCAAACAACCCAAATGTAGTCATCTATTTTAGGCCAAATATGCCCAAAAGATAATTAATTGTGACCCAATTCTACTCATGTTGAATATACCAGCGATTTCAATCCCTACGATGTGAAAACCTGTGTATATCCGGCACTGAATGCTCTATTTTTATCTTACGAATTTTTAGGCTCACGGACTGTTGCTACTCAAAGTGAAACGGATTGCCTTCCCGAGGAGAGTCGCTCCGTCTAAAACGAATGGCAGACTGGAAGTTAAACTAAGACGTGTCATCAGTCCCCCATGGGGACATTCTGCGATGTTTGTCGATACTGTGAAATAACACTGTTGCATGTCGACACAGCTATATAGGAACCAGCACCAACCGGACCCCTTTTTCCATAGTTGCACCTGATGCATCGCTGGAACCTTTCCACTTTTGACTTCTGGAAGACAGCTTTTGATGTATTCAACAGCCTGTTAATCTTGAAATTATTGAATTACACTGTAGTTATATTGGATCAAATGAGCTCTCCATAGCCATGCCCACTTTCTCGCTGTTATAGAATTTGGATTGTTTCAACGGCTGTTTTGTGTTTGGTTTTGCCTACTATTCTGTTCATTTTTCTACGACTTTTAACCCAGACAATTCTGTTTCTTCTGTTCTTTCAACTTTAAAATTTGTTAGAAGGACCATGTGATAGAAATATGTCACCGGAATTCTTGAAATCGCACCTTTGTGTTTTAAATAACGTAATTTTTCATTTTTGTTTTGCTATTTTTTTCTGTATTTTGGGCATGGGCATAAATCCTGGGGATGGGAAAGGGTACATTCCTCAATTTCTGACTGGGAGGATGGGACTATCGAATCGTTACACCCCCCCCCCCTTTGTGAGAAAAAAATAAGGCGGAGCAAGTTAAGTTTCAGTGTAAAATGATGTACTCAACAGCACTTAAACAGGAAACCTGTGTATGTGTAAAGATTAAGAGAAATCGAAAACATTTAGTTCACGTGAAGTATTTTAAAAAACAACATTAAATACGTAGCCATTTAAAAAACATCATAAATTCAATGTTTACCCCATTAACACTGTCTCGGTTCAAGGTAGAAATTAAGACCATGGTCTATTGCAAACGTGCGATACTGCATGTACTGTGTGCAATCATGCAATGTACGTGCACACTGTTCATGTAGGCGTTCTGCCGATGACGTCATCAAATCAGCTTGGGAACGCGAACGGCCAAAAGAGGATTTTTTGTGGGCGGGGAAACGCAGGATCTTTTTATTTATTTTGGGGTGACGATTAATGGGGTAAACACTGAATTTATGATTTTTTGAAATGGTTACGTATTTATTGCTATTTTGAAATACTCCACGAGAACTAAAATTAATGTTTCCAATTTCTGTTACCCTTTAAAAGCCATAAATACGCTGTTTTGATGTAGGGTTCTGCAGGAATGTAATACGCATGACAGAATTATGTGCATCTGTATCATGGAAAATGCCTCCCAATATCATATGATGTCAGCCCCCCCCCCCGCTCTTCAAGTTTCCATGGCCGGCAAGTCATCCCCCATTCCCCCATTTCCCGACACATATTTACGCGAACAAAATCATTGCAACCTCAGAGAGGGGCGGAGTTATTTTAGAATTTCACATCGTAAGGCGGCCTAGGGTTAAAGTTAAGAGTGAAACCTTAACATGCAGTGGTCGCGGTTTAACAACTCGATGCACTCCAGACTTTCCCTATTCAGAGCCTCTGTGGGAGTTTAAGAAGCCGTCGGCGTGGGCTGAATAATTGAACAGTGCACCGCTTCTTGCTTCACTTGTCAGGGCTCGTTTCCAAAAGGTGTCACCTTGAACCTTATATGGCGCCACTCACATGCTCTCTTAGCGACTGAGGTGTATTTGCCCCGCTAACGATTCAAAGAATAACCACATTTATGCCTTTTTTCACATCCTTTTAATGATTCTCACTGCAAATGGCTGGAAATGATGGCTGTTGCATATTTAATTTCATTAAAAGGAGATTAAGGTGGTATTATCGCATTTGCTTTATTGCAAAGTAACACCGATATAGGGTTGACTTTTCATGTATGTCTGTCCGTTTATGGAAGCAACTATATTTTTCAGACGTCATGATTTCTTGATTCTTTGTGCTGCATGTTCAAAAGACACGTTTTCTTTTGCGGAATGGTGGCAGCCCATACCGCATATTTCGATGAAGATGTGAATTTGACCCCCCCGTGTCCATGAATCATGGACTGGGGATTGGAACTGCAACAAAAGATCACAGTGTTGTTGAGTTAGTGTTAAAAACAATCTTAACCAAAACGTTCAAACGGTGCAAACGTCCGATACTAAGTAGCATTGCCAACCTAAATGCCACAGGTTGTAAACCTGAACTACATTACACACGGACTTAAGTTCCAAGGGAGGGGGAGGGAGTATACTCCCCCCTTCTCGGTTTTTGGGAGTGTGATCATTTGATTATCCCTCATCGTTTTTGCAGAAGCAGAAAGTGCCTAATTTGAGGTTATTTGATCTTGAAAACAGTCAAAGTGGAAAACAAACGGTACAAGACTGTATAAATACACGGCTTTGATTGAGCCATGTAAGATTGCAATGTAGTACGTGACGTAAGTCTGTTTCATCAATAACAGCTGCCAGGGTAACCATTCCCTCCCAAATGACCCTTTTTTTTCGATATGTTGTCAGGCGATTGTTCGTCATATGCCATCCCCACTCGCTAGAGTGGATTTACGTAACGGACAAAATAAGAAATGTCATAATCTCGCAAAGAATTTAAAAGAGAAATCCCAGGAAATCTACAGCATAGAGTCTATAAACCGGCACGTTTCCGCGAATCGCTGCCACGCAAAATGCCCTTTATTTCACGCTCCGATGACAACAAGCGCATCCTATGGGATTAGATGCCGCGGAACCATGCCCACATAGCCTCGGTCGACTGGTCTTACCGAGATCTGCGGCCTAGACACAGTAGCCACATAACGCAGCACAGCGGGTTGGGTGTTGTTTCACACGCGGGGAGTGTTGTTTCACTGTGCGATATGAGTTACTTCACTGTGCGATGAGTGGCGTGGCAGCGCGATGAGAGTAGTTTGACAGCGCCATGTTGCTTAGCGGCGTAGTATTAAACTCGGCTAAGATGGACTTCAATTCATTGCGAATTAAATTGCGTACATGAGACTCTCTGGCTCTATGCAGCTCCAGACAAGAATATCAATGTATCTTTAACCGTGATTAAGGCGTATGCACTAGATGTGCATGAGGTTTGATATGGAGGTTCTGATTTTTTTAATGTCAAAATAACAGAAAAGCAGTTTGAACGTTATTGTAAAATGTATTTTCTACTTTTCTGCTACCAGAAAAGCACCAGACTAAAGCAGATTGAAAGCATTTTGATATTTTCCAGCTTTCCTGCTACATTAAAATCAGATTTTGTTGTAGTACCCAACACTGACGATTCAAAAATTGATATTATGCTTTCTGTATTTTTTACCAGCAGAAAAGCCTATTGAACATTTCCAACAAAATCTTCTTCCACTTTTCGAAAAAGCAGATTGAACATTTTATCAGGTTGGTCTAAAAGTGGCCATCTACTTTCCTCCTGAAATTTTTTTTTCAAAAATATCTAATGTGAAATATCACTAAAATGGGATCTTTCTTACTGAAAACAACTTCGTGTAGTGTCAGAATATTTTAGACTCAATTTAGATTTTTTTCAATAGGCAAATTGAAATTTAACCTACCCCTTTACCACTTTACCTTCTAAAAACAATCCCTCCTATTCACGTTTTCGACTCACGTAAACAGACATTAACGGAAAAAAGATCTGACTGTATAACCTTTACGTGAATTGGACAAGACTTCTACAGATGACGCAAAAAACATTAATTTATTCAATCATTTCGCTCGTTTGGGACACGCAACTTTATAGGTGGGTGCTTGATGTGTAATTCCTGCAGCGAAAAATGGATACGCAATTTAACTATGGCAGTGACATAAATCGCAGGTTACCGAGAAATTGCGTAAAACGTAAAACACCACGCAATACATCCGCCGCGGCGCGCCGTGGTAATACTACTACCGGTAACTATAGTGTTCCGTTAAGGCCACGTTACGCAGTGCAGTGAGAGTGGTGGTGCAGCGCGATAAGAATTATTTCACTGCGCGATACCAGTGATTTCACTGCGCGATACCAGTGATTTCACTGCGCGATACCAGTGATTTCACTGCGCGATACCAGTGATTTCACTGCGCGATACCAGTGATTTCACTGCGCGATACCAGTGATTTCACTGCGCGATACCAGTGATTTCACTACGCGATAACTCTTGTTTCACAGTGCGGTGAGAGTTGTTGCGCAGCGCGGTGAAAGCCTCTTCTGCTTTCCCCTCCGACTGGGTGGCAGGTTCTAATTTTAGCGCTTTTTTGGGGGTAATTACAAGAGGTCACCAAGTTCATTTTAATATAGGGCCCAGGCCTAGCCGAAAAGTTGACTTCTGAAAGACAACCGCTTCCGAAAATCCTTGGATAGGAAATAACTTGCCTTTGTGAAATAATTTTTTTAGCACATTAAATATCGTGTCAAAAACTGACCTCACACTTCCGAAAAATACATGACAAATAGTGCGACTCGGTGTACTCGCACACACGTGAAATGGGGTAGTATTTAAGTCAAAGCTGAAAAAAAAGGTTTATTTTATATGTTTTTGTCCCTCTAAGATTTTGTCCTGACAAAAGCCCTCGTAAAATTGAGAACAAAATTATCCCAGTGGCCATAATTTTGAACGAGACCCTAATCTTCCTGGGCGTCATCATGGATCGCTATTTCTCACTCATGGTACGCTGTTATCCATGGACGCGTATGTAGTGTTAGTTTAACCATAGAGATATATTAAAAAAGGGACCTTCACACTAAGCGTCTGTGACGAGGAAACCTTGTTTACGTAATGTATGTGACTGCACACTGTGTTGTTTATGTATAAACATAAACTTAATTTTATTGTAAACTGCCATTACATCGAAACCAGAATTTATCAAGTAAGGCGTACAATAATATGTGTTCGTTTCAATATTCATTTTCAAGACATATGCCTTATTTCGATACAGGTATCACTTTTTACAAAAGTGTGTCATTCTAACATTCTGGTACTTGTGTGTTTCCTTTGCTTTCTGTACTTTGCATGGGGCTATACAGCACAGCATAATCTTTTGTCATGATGTCGAAAGCAATCCTTCTGTAGCCCCAGAAAGAGCTGCTAAACCTCAGTAAACCATATTTAACTTCCCGGCATCCCACTACTGTACATGGGTATCGTCAAGGGATGTCACCCCCGTACATGATTGTAAGTTCGATGTTAAAATGCTAAATAGTTAATGACTTATATCGAAGATACTGTACCTGTTTATGATGATTATTCGCTTAGGCTTGGAATGCCAGGTGCTTATGAAGAAAAAACTGATAATTTTCTTGCTCTATCTGGATAGACGAATAACCGTCTGTGGTCATCGGAATGTTGTGTGCCTAAAATGTACTTTGCATCTATTAGAATTTATTATATCTGTAGATCTTAATTTATGATCAAAGTGTTCATATTTATTTTGTTTCGGTTTTACCTAATTCACTTGTTTAAGACGTCGAGTGATAAAATGAAGGGGTGAACAGCCCGGTGTAAACTCGAGTCCTTATTTTGGGGTTTTGCGTGCATATAGCGACAATTAACTTTCTTCAACAAGCAATATAGCATTTTCAAAAAAAAAATGCCCTTTCATTTGTAAATTATTTGTATTTATTGAATCCAAACTGAAATAACAGAAAAGGTAATTCTGCGATCACACGCTGTTCTTTATGTTCAGCGTATGGAAATATTTTACTTGAAAATAAAATGATTCAAACATTTTAAAAGGGACCATTAAAAATCAGATGACTGTACGTAAACGATTTTGAAAAGAGAATATGAAAAATTTGGACGTCAATGTGCTATTGCCAAAAGT